GGCGCCCATACTTGGTCTGACTGGATGCAGTTGGTGATGGAGGCCGCTGCCCTGTGTCTTCCCTGCCCAGGTGGAGCTGAGCGGGCTGGATCCTGCACTTCTTACCATGTCTGGTGGCCGCAAGCATCTATTCCTTGTCTCCTCCCTTTAATTACTGCAGCATTGCTTGATTTTTAGGTGTGACATAGTGAGCTGACCTTCAGTACCCTTAATGAGAGTAGTCCTGCCATTGCAGCAGACCCTGTGTGTTGCCCGTTCCTGCTAGCTTTTGAGCCACAGCCACAGCTCCTGCCCTGGTTAGAGAAGGTGATGTGGAGTCCTTTCCGAGCCGTGCGTGCTGTTTCCCTTCCGTGGGGGCTGAGCATTTCACTTACTACAGCCCTGGGAGCGGGGCCTCTGGGCCTCGGGGAGAAGGCATGCCTCGAGCCAAACTGCTGAGGGGGTGCGGAGTGGAGAGCAGCAGAGCTGTTTGCTCTCCTGAAGGCTTCCCTCACCACAGGATGGTTTCAAAGCTGTGTCCTCGAGTGCCTGAGCTTTGCTGTGCCTGTTGGTGATGCGGTTGGCTGGCTCTGGCTGCTCTCCAGGGCTGAGCAGAAACACTTTGAGCTGGTGAGTGGTGTCTTTCCTAGAGTGCAACTTAGTGGTACCTGTTGAGCATCTCTCCTTGTCCTACTTCAGGACATTTCATAGAATCATAGAATCACTACAGAATCACAGAATCACCATAGAATCACAGAATCACCATAGAATGATAGAATCTTGGGATCATAGAATCATAGAACAGTTTGGGTCGGAAGGGACCTTTAAAGGTCATCTGGTCCAGTGCCTCTGCAAAGACCAGGAACAGCTACAACTAGATTAGGATAATAAGTAATAATCTCCTTATTAATAATGCATAAATAAATACTAACAAAGTGTGACTGTATGCTCTGTAGTCATTTCAGTGAGGGGCTGGGCTGCTGGGTGGAGGCTGGGAGCTGTGCCAGGGGCTGGGACCGTTGCCCGAGGACCCCAGGGGCAGCTGAGGGGTGATCACTTTTGGACCCTAACGGAGGGGAACGCGCCGCCTTCCCTTCCCATGGCTGCCGCTATGCAGAGGGGCTTGGTGGGGGGCGGCG